CTTCAATGCATCACCTAGAAGAAGCTTTGCTGCAAAAGGTGAGAAAGCCCACAATCAGAATACGTCTTTTTCACCTGACTAAGCTAAAGCATTTGTCTAATGTTAACTTGATTGCTGAAAAATATAATGCACGAGCCGGGTAAGAACATGAATGCAAGTGCTGCACAACTTAGCAAACTAATAGAATATAAGACAGGCACTTTAGTAAAGCGCCAGAAGACCCATCACCATTCAAACATGTGTGTGAATGACGCAAAGTGTCTCTGATAGCACAAGTGCTTACCTACACCCCCCGCAAGAAATGATTCATGAAACACAGAAGCATCAACAACTACTCCAATACCATCGCTGGGTGGCACGATGAAACCTAGAAGGAATAGAACAAAACCCAAGGAAAAGCCAGCTAGAGGTCCAGCTGCTGCAACCTTCAGAAGGTCTTCACGTTTGGGTACAATAGTTTTTATCCTTGTAATGGCACCAAAAGAGCCTATCTGCCATCAAAGCAGTCCATTAGACTTGCCGCACGTATGTTTACAGAACATCAAATAGATCAGAAAATGTAAGGGCAAACGGATGCAATTTATACAAGGACCCCAGGGTCATAAGAAGCCCAGTGATACCGGTAACAAGGCTGTTTGTCATACAAATTGCTTCGGTGTGACTACTCATGTGCTCCACGTAAAGAAAGCACAGAAGTTAACCGGATAGGGATCTACATAGAAATGAAAAATTGGAAATCTGACATAGAGTGTGTCCCGATGAATGCATTACATGTTACTATAAAGAAAGAGGTAAAAGTGATGCTCTTATTTATGATTTCCACAGTAGATTGCAACAAAGATTTCTGTCTAGAGATAAGGTAACAAAAAATAGGAACTCATAAGGGAAAGGAAAACATAAGTGGGATTTTTTTAACTAAAAGATTTGTGCAGAGAACCATATATATCACCTGCCAACTGGGGACAAAGAAAGGAACACCAAGCTTAACTCCAGTGCTCTTTGCTACTAAGATGTGGCCAAATTCATGTACCCCCAGAAGAAGTGCAGTAACAAACGCTCCAGGTAGACCATCCAATAACAAGTTGAGATTATCAAATGTTGATCTGGAGCATGAAAATACCATTGGCAGTAATTACAATAAGACAAACTGAATTGATATAATGGAAAATTCTCATAATTCAAAGAACAAGGAAGCACAGTAAAATATCAGAAACCATACTGTTAGTATGCAACATAGATGATAAAAATTATCCCCACTTAAACTTTCTAATAACATGATGATGATAGAAAGGAATCCTCCCTGCGAGAGAGAGAGAGAGTGAGATAGAAGATTGAAGAATCTGTGGTCAAGAAACAGGAGCATTTTGGCCTTTGTTATGCTTTGATTATGATCACAAGAACAAGCCACAGTTAATATTTTTAAGAAGTCAGAATGAAAATTGATAGAAGAAGTCATACAATAAGTTGGACTGCAGTGAAGGGACATTTCGAAGAAGTAAGGTAAACACTGTAACCAGACCAAAAGCCCCAGCTGCAAACCACTCAGGGACCGCTGAAAAAGAAATACTTTAGATCAATGACAGGGATTCGATTTATGACAACAGTGAACTTTTATAAAATAATAGCATAGTCAACTACCAGTTGTCTCTGGTTGCAAAGTTGTTTTTGGAACAACAACTGCCACTGGTTTGTCATCTTCAGGATTGATAAGAAGAAAAAGCTTATACTGATCACCGAATTTGTTCTGTATATTGATTAAGAAGAAATTGAATAAAGAATCAGTCATTAGGCTCCACAAGAGTACAATGGAAGAAACAGAGTATACATACCTGCAACCTTGTAGATATTTTTTCATAACTTCTGGCAGCCTGTCCTCGCAGATTTCCTTTGAACAACACTCCACCCTAACAAAATTATGCAGGTAAACAAGAACATAAATTTAAAACCCACAGTTGGGAAAAAAGAGCACAATAAAACTGAATGTTCTCTTTTATCTTATTCCCAAGAACAATAAAATACTTATCCAGAGGAGACAATCAAATCTTTAACTATTATTGATCTCCATGAAAATGTTATAAACTTCAATTGCAGAAGGTTCTTATAAGGCAATCTAATTTGATTTCAGCCCCTCCAAATACAAGTTTGAAAGAAAAAGGACGGGTTAAGAAAGCCTAGAGCTGTTAAGATAGCTAACTCACCTCATATGGCTCCTGGCTCGTCACAAAGAAAGTATCAAATGCAAATACTTGATCCTTAAGAATGTCAATGGTTTCCTTTGGTATCCTCATTGTTTCATCCAGTTGCTGCGGCTGTTGAGGAAACATAGGAAGATGAAAAAGAGGAAACAGGGAAAGAAGTTCTCTCTTGTAAATTCCAGTACAGGAAGTAATACAGCATCATGATCACCTTCACACCTGGCAGAGGCGATCCACTAGTAACTTCAACATCGCCATCCTCCTGTAATAAGGGTCAAGCAAGCTAATACCTAAGTCATTCCTCTTCAAATTAAAGCCAAAAAGCAAACCAAAAAGAAAAAGCATGAGCCAAAGCTTAGAACATACAACCTCTTCTGTTCGTAGATTTGGAGGAAGAACTATGTAAAGTTCATTGATTATAAAGTATAAAGATGGCAGTTCAATGTGGGACTGATGCACTATAATAATTCACTCTGTAGGTATTAAATACCATGTAAAAGATAGACGCTTAGATATTACATGCAAGGGCCAATAGTTTCATGTAGGGTAACATAATGCCATTGTTAGGTGTTGCTATAGTTAAATAACTCTCTAGCTTTCATTGGACAAAAGCATTTTCTGTCAAGATAGAAAGGAGATTAAAAAAAACACACTCTAGTTAAGAATTTAAGGCAATGGATGTGAAACCTATCGAAAAGATCAGTTGCAAGATCTTCCTTTGAGAACCAAGTAATCAAGGGGCTGGCCTATTGCCCTATTCTGTCACCACACAAGTATTATTACACAACAGAAATTAAACTACCTGGACACCACCTTGAGCTATAGTTTCTGCACCATTATTTTTTATTTGCTCTACATTCACGGGCTGAGGATCAATCTGGGAATCATTTTGCTCTGCGGAACCAGTAGTATCTGGATTTTCTCCACCTTCATTCTCTTCTTTCTCCTACAAAACATCCAATATCTTACATCAAGAACGCTTTCTTTCCCTCCGAAAACATAAATCATCACATGTTGAGGATGTGTTCATAATTCATTCATACAAAGACCTATGCTTTAACGTGCCGCCGATAACTTCTTGAGCAGATTCATCAGTGAAAATGCAATAATTCACTTAAGCTATCATAAACATTGAAATACTCAGTAATTTTTCCTTTTAAGCAGAAATATTTACAATTCCATAAAAAAGCAGCAAAAAAATAAAAATATTAAGGAAAAAAAAACAAAGAGTACATTTAGTGATGAAGTAATCACCTTCTCATTGTTACTATCTGATTCAGTTTCTGTCTCTGTTACTCTGCAAACAATCTCTCTTCGCCTGAAAAATCTATAAAAGGAAAAAAAAAAGAAATTAATTCATTTTCATTCCTCACCAGAATCTAAAGAACAAAATCAAAAAGAAAGAAAACAGAAGTTACCTTGAGAGCTGAGAAAACTTCAAGTTCCTTAAACGACACCGTTTGGACTTAGCAAGACTTGGAGAAGCTAACAATGGCTGAAACCGAAGATCACAGCAAGAGCTACACTGCGATAACACACCAAAGTTCCCGCGAAAACTTACCGCGAAACTCATTTCTTTTTTCCCTTTTTTTCTCTCTCTCTCTCTTTTTAATCGAAATCTGAATCTCTCGAAAGAAGCTTTCTTAATTCAAACGAAGTTCCAATCCCATTGGAAGAAAATTCAAATTTCCTTTTGGTTTCTTCGGAAGTCTTATCCGTTTCGGTTCGTTGCTTCGAAGGAGAGAACCCGCGAGAACGATATTTTTTGGGGAAGATCCGAATATTGAACGGAGAACCCAGTTGGGCCAATAAGAAATGGACACGTACACAGAGTGGCTAATCTTAGATATTTCAAAAATTAAAATATTTTCAATTTTTTTCTTTTTTTCTTCTTGCCTCATTATACCATTAAATATTCAATATATTGTCAAAGATTAAACACGTCTTATTTCAATTTTAAATTTAATTTTCTAATTCGTATTTTAGAAAAACATTTTCAAAATTATAAATTATCTGGTGATTTGTGTACAAATTATCAATAAAAAATTTAAAATAAAAGGAGAAATTTTGTCTTCTAATATTTATGACCTATGTAAATTATTGTTCAGTCCTATCTATAATGTATTTATAATGATCATAATATTCGATCTTATACAATATTTGATATAATCATCAAAAGATTTTAAACATTATCTTATCTTAATTAAATTTCATTGTCTAGTTCATGTTTTAGATAAAAAAATTTAAAATTATAAAATTATCTCATGATTTCACACAAATTACATACTAAGAAAAAATTAAAATAAAAGGTACGATTTTGTTTTCTCGTGTTCTCAATATATAAAAATTATTATTCTATTTAATGCATTATTTTCAAAAAATTAAAAAAAGAACAATACAATAATTAAAATTTTCTCTCTTTAAATATGATCTTAACGAACATTTTTTGTTATTATTACTATATAGTTTAAATTTGAAATCATCCATTTATCTAAACGAGGGATGGCAATGAGAATACCCTCGACTCTACGATCTTATATATGAGTATTTTATATTTGGGTTTAAAATGGATTGAGTAACAAGTTTCATCTAAACTCGAGATTACCATTACACTCTTGCCATTTTGAGCCAGAAAAATTATTGCTTTGCTCTTCAAATTTTGAGCATTAGCCAGGAAAAACAAGTGATCATCCAAGAATTTTTATGACATCAAAGCCAATGAACTGAAAAATGGAATTGGATTTCATCTGATTGTTGACAAGATTACATTCGATACACATCATGAATGAATATTCTTCCATTGGGAATTTCCATAAGCAGAGTTTTAAGCCAAACCCCAGTGAATATGTCAGAGAATTTACAGCTGAAAAGAGTTTAGATATCCTCAGGTTTTACATCCCACCTTTGCTTTCTCTCTCTCTGTCCCCTGAGACTTAAAAGCAAGTTTTCCATTTCTTCAGCTAATGGTCCTGGTGCTAGCTCCACAAGATCCTCTTCATCATCACTGCAGATCCAGCCATAGTAAGGCCTGCGCTGCCTAGTTGAATTGCTCTCTGGCATTGGTGGGGTATGAGTAAGAGATGGAGTAGAGTGGCTAGTGCTCCCAGGAAGCTGAACAGGCTCTCTCACGGGGCCTCCTGCTTCGACTGATGGGAGATATTTACCAACATGAAAACAAGGGTATTTACAGTGTGAAGATAACGAAATTCATTGGTAAGTTCAGATGCAATTCTGCATATTGGAACAAGTTGCATGATTGTTTAATGTGTCAATAGTAACATGCCTATGCAAGTTGAATACAATAAGGTAGAGAAGTGTATTTTTCCCAAGTTTTTCATTCATTTATTAGGTCCTATATGAAATGCATCTCCATGTTTCTCAAATTTATAAGTCACAAACTGCTACTTGATTCAATCGATTCAAAAAAAATTGACCAAAACCTGTAATTTTCAACGGGAAAAATGGGAAGACTGGTTACCAGATTCATTTGTCAGGTTTGCAGTGCCCAAAGCCTCATTAGTCTCTGATGCAGGGTCCAAGCCATTGCTGACCTGCAACGCGATGTTGGGAGGATTCACATCAGAGCATGCAAGTGCAAGAGTCCCACCACAGGCCTCTGATGCAGGGTCCAAGCCATTGCTGACCTGCAATGCGGTGTTGGGAGGATTCACATCAGAGCATGCAAGTGCAAGAGTCCCACCACAGGTCTCTGATGCAGGGTCCAAGTCATTGCCGATCTGCAATCCGGTGTTGGGAGGGTTCACATCAGAGCATGCAAGTGAAAGAGTCCCACCAGAAGTCTCAGCAGCTGGTTCCTTGGAATTACTTGTTTCTCCTCCATTGTCCTTCAAAACAGGATTGAAACAAATTAATCTTGAAAATAGTCAATGAAACTAACAATATGCTTGCTGGCAATGTTAGCATGTGTTCTGTAATCTGTATAACCAGTAGCCACCTTCCCTCCCAAAGGGAGGCCCCAAGCTCAAAACCTCCAAAATGATGGAAAAGGGTAAATCGCTGATCAGTTCTATGAAGCCATATGATCATCAGAAACTCCCAAAGAAGAAAACAATTAAGCAATCCAGAAAGCAGCACAAACAATACATGAGCAACAGATAGGAAGGAGCATATCAGCCAAGAAAGATTGGAAGAAAATCAGTTGATGAGGGAAGACAACAAACATAAGGACCAGACATCTAACTCCTCAAAACACCATGAATCCTAAGAATTTCAGCTTTTCGCAAAAAGAATTACAAAATGCAAGCTTTATAAGAAGCAGAAAACGAATAAAGCTTTCACCTTTTCAAGTATAGCTTCTATCAGAACCTTGTAAGCAGCATCCTCAATGAAGGGCCACCCTTCTTCCCCATACACCTAAATCACAAACAAACGCACAAAAGTTCCCTTCTTTTTAGCTTGTTTCCTTAATCAGAAAACAGAACCTCAAACTTCTAAAGCAAATTTTTTTTCTTTAAGATAAGGAAAGGAAACCCACTTTTAGGAGTTCCTTGATGGTTTTGACAACCAAGTTGTTAGGGAATCCAAATGGCTTCATTGCATCAGTGGCTGCAGCCATTCTTGTATTAGACCTCTGCAACAGAGAGAAAAAACAGAGCAAAATTTTTAAAAAAAGAAAGAAAACACTGAAAACAAGGACCTGAAAGATAAACAGTGAAATAATAAGGAAAAAAAAAAAGACGGAAGACTGAAGAAAACAACTTTTCTTGAAATGTGAGTGAAGATGGTTTGATAGGAATCAAAAATGAGAAAAAAGAAAGGACAATGGAAGAAACTACCTTTCTTGAACGTCCTCTTGGAGCCATCACTATCTTTCTTTTGCCTCTCTCACTCTCACTCTTTTGACACTGAGGAAAAATAGAAACTTTATAAAGCACTCAGCTTGGTTTTTAGCCCGAGAGAGAAGGTGGCAAAGAGGAGCTATACAGCCTGCAAGGCAGAGTGAGTAACAAACCAAATATGGGGAAGAAAAGTTTACTTTGTTTTTTTTGTACACGTGTAACCATGGGAGTAGTCCAAAGTATTCACGGTTGAGATAAAGAGCCAACACAGCTAAAAGCAAAAATGAAGGGGCTTGATCATGCCACTTCCACCGTGGGTGGTGGCTGGCTCCGACAGAAAATGGGTCATCAAAACAGTTGGTTTCATTGTAGTAGCTGTATTTGGATGTTGATTATGGAAGCTTGAACTCTGCCTTCAACTCTCACCAAAGTTTTAGTACCAAAAGAAAATGAGTTTAGTAATGCAGAAGATCAAACTGGACAGGTAATCAGAACTGCCAACGGCTGGTGTTTTAAGTAGACAAGAGATTCCAAGGTTTCTGGCTCTGAATTGGGTGGGAATCCACTGTTCATGGCGATTGCATGTGCAATGTGACTCCTGCTGATGAAGATAAATTGTGGGAGAGGGAATCTGTCTTTTCAACTATATCTTGTGAAGCTTTCATCATTTGAGATGCTAAGCATACTGTCCATTGCTGGTCACGGGCTAGTTATGAGAGGAGAGGGCAAGCATGGGAAATCTAGGTAATGGTAAAATCACTGATATGCATACATGTTACACTTCAATCTGCAAAAAGAAGCATTAGCAGGTGGCAGCTGACACATTTTAATGGTTGAAAACCATTTCAAACCACCATAAATCTATTATAGTTCATGAGTTTTTTTTAAGGTATTAAGCCAAAATCCATATAACAATCAGAATCAGAAAAGTTCTGTACCAAATCACTGCTCACTGAATGAGTAACATCTGACAGAATATCTCCAGTGAAGTCTGTCAAAATGTTGGTCTGACCCACAAGTTAGTACTTGCAAAGGGAAATAGAAGAACAACCCAATCTGCAATCCTATGTAAGGTTCAAGCAAATGGGCCAAATCTAATATCTTTAGATTCCATTAAGGAAACCCATATCCTCCATTCTCCATGCAACAGCTAAGCCCACATAACAAAGCCTGCCATAACAGAACTAAGACCCCAAAGAAATGGACGAGAAGAAGAAAAGTGGGGAAAGAAAAATGTAAAGAATTGATGTGTACTATTACAAATCACGCCCATGCTTAGTTCAAATCTTAAGCTTTGAGGGGGACCCTCTTTAGGCTTCCAAGTCAAAAGAATACAAAAGTGGAAATATGATTAACACTATCATGAAATAGACTCTTTTGTGTCAAGCATTGTGAGCTAATTTCATTTTTTTTAATGCACTTTAATATGAGGAAAAAAAAAGTTAAAAAAAAAAAAAAAGCCCCTTGCCTTTGATAAAGGGAAAAAGAGCTTTTGAAAATGAAGAAATTCGTGTGATCCTTGGGTCTCTCTCTCTCTCTTTCTCGAAACACACGTTTTTTAAAAATTTCTTCTTAAGCAAACGTCATCTCGCAGTCTCTCATCATATGATAAACACACTATTTTAATAATTAAAATATAAAAAATAAAATTGTCTAATTGTTATTTTAAAAAATGAATAATTAAAATTTAATAGGTAAAGATATGATAAGACTATCACGTTCGCGTGTTTTAAACGTATCATGGAACTGGGACTCATGAACATGCATCAGCAGCAAAGGTTCACAGGCACGGGGGATGGGGACAAAGATTGAAAGGAACATACACCCGAAGACAGTGAAAACAGCCATTTCAGCAAACCCCAAATCTAGGGGCCCCTTTGCCAATTAGCTCCAAATTTGACCAGCTGAAACACATGAGACGGTCAAAAGGAATTTGCACTTGAGATTGCAAACTGTAATCATATGATTTGGATTGATATGAGCTCACATGCCAAGAGGGGTTCCAAGAGAGAGAAGGCAGCAAATGTTTACAAGCCATGTGAAGGAGAATAGCAGCTTGAAAAGATTTACCCTTTGCTTCTTCCCATTGACAAAAATATAGAATACTGAGGAAATACAACCCATTCAGAGTTCACCAACTAGTTGTAGCAAAAGGTAGAACAAAAGAGATGGACACTACAGCACACTGCATGTATGGGAGGAGGTGCAGATGCCTCCCAGGAGTATAATACAAGAGAAAAAGATGCTATAATGCGCTGTAATTGGAATGAGAAAATAACAAAAAATACTTCAGTGATGCTTTGATGATGGTGAGGGTGGGCATTGGTAGCACTTGGCAAAGAGCCCGAATGTATCGACTTGTTTGATGAAGTTTGTCATACTAGCCCAACCTCCCAATCCAAAGCCAACTACGAAGACCCAAACCACAATGAATGTGTTCACAGCATACACTGCTGTCCAGCTTGGGAGGAAGAAAGGAGGCTTCTCAGCTGCATTCTGCTCACACAAGAAATTACCAAAAGAACAAACAAAGTAAGTTGATAATTAATGTGAGGAATAAGACCTTGATGGTTTAGCCTACCAGCTAACTTTCTAAGATGTGGCCAGCACAAAAATTTAAACCGAGTGATAAAGATTTGCCACCAACCCTCATCTTTGTTTCATACACTGTGTGTATATTTACTGTTAAATCCACTGGTGGGGCAAGAATCATAGTGACTTATGAGGTGAAATTGACCTACAACCTTACATTGTATCGAAATAGTACTACTAGTTTTTGAACATGACACAGCACCTAGTTGATTCACAGCCTCTTTGAAAACGATTTTGTTGTAAGGACAGGAAATTGTGAAGAGTTGAACACAAGACTGGTGTATTAACTATAGTGGGAATTGGAAACTCCCCTGACTTGTCACAAACAGCTGAAAACCTTGCATGATTGCTTGTATAGATCATATGTAGTTAGTTACTAGGAATTATTACATGTAGCAATCAGGATGATCTAATCAGGTAAGCCAATAATCGATGAGGACCCTTCATTGGGCATGTCCTACAGACCAAGGTACCTCTTAAGCATCAAAATTACCTCAGGTATCTATCAGAACTCATCTGATCATTATGGTTAGGAAAGGATGGCTCATAATGATAGAGTAGCAACATTATTGTGGCATTCGACAATGCCAGCCGGATTGCACAAAACATTTGCTTAGAAGATTACGATAAGAAATGAAGAAACTGGACCATTTTCAGGATTTACCTGTCGGGCAGAGGCTGATTTATAAGTGAGCATATGAGCCAAGGCAGGGATGATGTAGACAGTGAAGCTGACCAGAAGAGATCCTACAGCCGAGTTAATGGGACCAAAGAAAGGAAATATGATAGCCAAGAACCAGATAGGTATCACCACAGGTAACCGGCATACTGCCCTCAAACATATGCTCTTTGTATCATGCATCCCCACCACTTTCTCCCACACAAAGTACAATGGCGTACACGCAAACCCAAATGTAATAAACTGCAAAACAATTGATCATGTCAATCTAAGTAATCCAATAAGGTTACGATAGCATTAAAAAAATTAGTTTTGTAGGATATCCATAAACCTGGTGAATTAACATTAGCACAACTGCTGCATCACGCCACCCAGAGCGTGGAAGGAGTGAAAAGGCATTGGAATGGTTAAGGAGTTGATCACCGAAAGCCCAATACACAGCAGCAGCAGATGGAATGGTTAGCGTGAAAACATAGAGAGTGGCCAATAGGTATATGTACTTGAATTTCTGAGGTTTCCACATTGCATGCATAATTTCACTGCAAACAGAAAAATTTTTGTCCAAAACTCAGTTCTACTCAACTGCAAATAATAATGGTTTAGTCAAAGGTGTGACCAAAGGGACCAGGGTTGCCACTTTATAATAAGGTTAGAGAATATGTCTAAAGATCTCCTAAAGCTAAACAAAAAAAAAAGAAGCCATGGTTAAAGCAGCAGAGGACCCCTGCAATTATCATGCTGCAAACCCCACTCAAGCAAGTGGATTTCAAAAAGCTCAAGCCAGCCAAGAGTACAAGTTTTCATTATTTCAACACTTGATCAAATTCCTTTTTCCCTGTTGTATTTAATTTTTGATGATTTTCACCCAAGTTGATGCACACATTTATAACCAGCTGAACTGGTAACCAACCAGGATTGATGATTCTGCAGCAAAATGTTTACTAAGGAATTTACTGCAACTTTTGACTAACACAGGAGACAAGAAAGGTACCAACCCAGAAGAATTGATTCAAGGGCAACTTTACCCAGTGACAGAATATCAATGAATTTGTTTCTTAAACTAGTCTCTTTCTCAAATCCCAAAAATGGGAAGCAAAAGCTGCCAATAGGATCCTACTGTAACCAATATTTTACTGCAGTTGCAAAGTTTCTGTTCAATAAAATAAAGCAAAAAATTATATTGTTTTAGGAACTGTAGCAATAATAATAACACCTACACAGTGACAGCATGTCCGCCGAAAGTATAGAGGATATTGGTGGCGCCAGTGAAGTACAAAACCAACTTCGTTGGACCTTGGTGAGTTACACCCTCCACCTGTTAAGGAAAGAGAGGTGAAACTAGAAGAGGTTAAAAAGAAAGAGATCAAATTTAAAAACTGAGGAAAGATCAGAACCCTTTCTTTGTTTTTACCTGGCCATGGACAAAGGCTGCGATGGTCAGATACCAAGCAGTGTAGGTGGTCATGCCGAGCCCCAGAAAAGACCAGATTCTATAGTTGTGAAATGAGGGGATGAAGACTGTGGTAGCACAGCAAGCTCCAAAGATATAAGTCCATGTCCTCTTGTCTAACTTGTCATTTATGTAATATATGTTGCTGTAATCAACTCATACAAACATCAGAAATCAGTTGGTTGAAGCCAAACCCCAGTTTGAGTAATCCATCAAAGTCTAAAATTTAATTAAAAAAAGTTGGGGGATAATTCAAGAAATGGGACCTGGCACAGGCTATAAGCTGAATGACAGATCCAAAGAGCAGAAAAGTGCAGTTAAAAGCCAATCCAACAGCTTTCCAGTAAGGTCCCAAGAGACCATCCAACACTTCAAACCACTGCATGTAAAAAAAAAAAAAAAATATTTAAGGATGATATGTGAAATTGTTTTTTTTTTTAAGGGTCTTTTGATATTGAAAAGCTAACCTGTATGACATGGTTCTTGAAGCTGACATTCTCTTTCTCCTTTCTGCTTCGGTACTCAATATAGAGAACACTGATGAGATAAGCAGTCCAGCTTCCAAGAAAGCCATAAAAAATCTGCAGAATAATCCCCGAAAGCATTCCCATTTGAGAGAAAGAATATGGTAGTGTTAACAGAACTTGAGCCACCTGCAACCCCACCACCAAAAAAAGAAGAAGAAAGAATCTTTTGTCAGCTAAAAAAAAAGGGAAATAGTTTTACACTGCTTTGATTACAATTTTGAGTTGAGATTTAGTACCTGATTTGAAGCACAGCTAAACCAGGCATCATAAACAGAACCACCATGCCAAAGAAGGCTCTTAACACTGAAGATGGAATGATCTCCCTTCTCTTCCTCTTTCTCTTCATGTTCAGAAGCCTCATTAAAGCTTGGAACGATTGCTTCCTCAGCCTGTTTCTGTCCTGACATTGCTTCACTTCTCTAAAGATCAAAATCAAACACAAAATCAAACCAAACACACAAGCCAAAACCAAGGAAGAAGACACAAAAGCAAGCAACTTTAGACCATGAACCTCAAATATTTTTTACTATGTTACTTTATTTCAAGGAAGCCTATTGGCTTATAATGGAGAGAAGTAGAGAAAGAAAAAAAGAGATTCTTGACAAATGTGAGACAACCCGAAAATCAGCTCAGCCTCTAACTTCTCTCGAAGAAAGAGTGACAGAGAAAGAGAGTGTGTCTGTGTGTGTTTTTCTCGTTTTACCTTTAAAAGCAAGAAACCACAGTTTTTGGGTAGCTGTTACAGCTTTAAATTTTCTGGTTCACCAGGATGTTAAATTTATATCTCAGAAACACTTGTAATTCATAAATGACTTAACAAGAAGACAGAAGAATCCCAGCTTCAAAAAGAAGCCTTAACTCCAAGGTTGGCAGTGCCTTAACTCTCTCAAAAAGCCAGCTAACAACCCTTTCAAATGCTTGTTGTACTACCAAAAATCATTTCTTTCACACTCAAAAATCCAACAAGCAATAAAGAGCTTCCCTTTCCTTCTCTTGAAGAAGAACGAAACAACCCCTTTTTTTTCTCTTTTGAAAAACGAGATCTGCCCGGGAAAAGCACCACCTGAGAAAGGCAAAATAGGGTACTAGTAGCTGCTAACTAGGAAACTAGGGAAGCTAGCTTTGCTTGCTTCCTTTTTCAGTGCTTTTAAGCAAACAAAAACAAGAAGAACAACAAATCTTTTCCTCTCTTTTTTTTCAAACTCTGTGTCTGAGTTTTCTGTTAAGACATATGAGTGGCAGAGAGATCTTTTTAGCTTCTTCTTTTCACACGGTATGTATTCTCTCACTCTGTTTCATAGTCTCTCTGGGTGTTGTCTCAGTTACTATATCCCGATACCCTATGAAAATAAGCCTTTTTAAATGGTTTAATTCATTGGGTACAGATCCAAACCTGAAGTAACAGTACCAAAATATTAACTTTTTTTTTCTTTTAACTCAAAATTTTCTCCTACTTTTAATTCCAATGCTAATGATTCATATAACTTTTGGTAAAAAGTCCACTCAATTTTCATTCCAAGAACAAAAAGGCAAAAAAAGAATTAAACCCAACATTCACATTTACGTGTTTCATTACAATTGTTAATGAAATTACTTACTTCTTGTTTGCTTAATCTACCCTTTTTTCATCATTGGAGAAATGCCTTAGGATAGAGTGTTTGGTGTTCCTATGATTTTGTATGGCAATTGCTTATGGAAGAAAACTTCATGATTTTGCAGTGTTGTTTGTTTAAACTTAAATTACTTCTAATAATAACTCTTAACATATACAGGAAAAGAAAAATTTGTTGACAGGCAAGATAAAAGGAAAGTAAAGAAAGAAAAACAAATAAATGGTCATAATAGATCAAAAGCATCATCATGATCATAAACTGCATAGCTTCTGCTAGTAGTCATAACTCCTAAAATGAAATTGTAAATTAATCACTAGCACTTCATAGCTACAAGCCTACAGCCATGATTGCCATAGCATCATCAATCACCAACATCAACATAAAAAAATTAAACAAAAAACAAAGCTTGTCCAAACGATATTCATTGATCAATATGTTCCCTTGCCTTTGTTCAGCCAAAGAAAGAAGCCACTTAAATTTCAGGGTAAGTAAATTTTAATCCAAATTACAGCATAAGATCTGATCAAATTTCTACATTTGATGTTGTTTTCTAAGGTACAATGCCATTGACAAAATTATAGAAGAAACAATGAATCTTTGATGATGATCAATGGTATGGTAAGATGTCAGGGAGGAAAAGGGTTCTTTCTGCTTTCTGTCAACCCTTACCATCAATGCTTTAATTTGTCCAATAACAATTAATGGAAGCAAAACAAATTGCCTTTTCGGCTAAGCCAACTGATTATTGACCAACAAATAATTTTGCCATTTGAATCAAAATGTCAAAATCTGATATCATCAGCATTTAGCAGTAAAACCACCAAATCCTAAAACCTTAGGAAATGTATAATCAAGCATGGAAGTTTAGTCCTCTCACGTATCTTATCTCTACCAACCACTTCCTTGTTCAATTGTGGGGGTTTAGTCTTATAAACTAGCTAGTTGGTTAAGGTAGGAAAAATGGAGGAAAGATGGCAAAAAAGGTAAGAGAAATGGGATTAATATTTGACATAATTATGTTTTTCATTTACAAAATTTTACGTATAAATAGAAATTATAATCATAACCGAATAATCTTTCTTCAAAAATAAAATTACGCGTGACTTTACCACGACTTTTTCTTGGTTAATTTTTGGGAATTGATAAAATAATAAGTGAATGCTCTTGAGTGTTGCTTATTATTCATTATGGTCTGCATGCAAAGAGAGAGAGAGTTCTCTAGAAATAAAATTAAAGAGACAAATACTCATGGTTCTTGCCACTTCTTTGAATGACTATCATGCCATAATAATCCACGGCAAGGGAAGAAAAGAGGCCCAACAGGGCATTCAAACTGTGTATTGCCAAGCCATTCCTCCACTCAAGTACAAGGTCATAGCTTGAATCATTATAGCATTCGAATGCCATTGACCCTTTTGTAGTACATCACCCAAAGATATATAACAAGGTTGGGTTTTGTAATATTTCAATTTTCAATGTTTGAAATGTTTTTAAATAAAACAAAATTATTATTTTTTAATATATAATTAATCGGATAAGCTAAAGAAACAACATCGACAATAATAATAAATCAAATCACATTTCAAATCACTCAATTATCCTTAAACCTCAAAATTTGATAAAGTTAAATTTTCACATCTTATTTATATCGATTCCATTTAACTCGATTATACTTTCAACATAAGTCATATGATGTAGTATTATACGAGTAGAAATACTGATTTTACTCATAAAAATAAGCAAGTGGAAAAGGACCAGCTCATCACCATGATTTTGGTGAACTCTTTTTGGAGGGACCTTCTCCTCCTCCCCTCCCCATTCTACTTCCAACTTTATTTAACTTTTCCTTAATATGCTCTCTGTCTCCTATCTCTGACTCTTGACTAGTAATCCTCATTGGTGACCTTTAAGAATCATTTATCCAAACCTTAATTATTCCACTTAATCATAACCTAATTCGTCGTTAAAATGGGATTAAGCAACATTCATGTGTTGTTTTAAGCATGAATTTTGAGACCAATCATGTGGGGGAAACTCTAAAAGAAGACAAAGGAAGGTTGTGTAGCACATCTTGTTGTGTGCAAAATTTTACCTCCCTCCCACCCTTTCTGTTAGCTTATGGATTGTTCTCAATTTCACCAATAATTAACTAGCTTAGTTTTTAACTTTATCGAGTGATTAGTGGGAATGACAATGATTAATCGAATGACACGATATGGGTCCCCTCTCGTTTGCTTAAGAAAGTTCCAAATAATTAATAGGGATCATATAAGATCCGACATGTTTATATACAAAAATTTTTAATATTATAAATAAAAAATATATAAAAAAATTATGTTTGTTAATTCCGTGTTTAAATTCAAAATGACGGTTTAAATTTGGATGTAGGTTAAATAATTTGAGATACTTAATACATCAGCATGACAAATAGCCTTAGATAAGGGAGGGGGGGATATGTGCAATCCATGATGATTAGAAGGAATTTGAGTAGTCTAACAAGTGAGAAAGAATATTTGCTTGAAAATACCCAATGGGTATGTGATATGACAGAGAAAAATGGGATTTGGCTTGGCTTTTCCTAATCTTCAAAAGTTTCCCTTAGGATTTACATAGTGAGAGCTGAGCTGCAAGCTTTTTTCTTCTTTATCTTTGGGTATTTTCTGTCACTTTCTAAGGCTCAAGAATCTATTTGATTTAGAACAAGCATCCCAAGATATGCTTCTTTTAAGGGTTGCTTTGATAAGTAAATGGGATAGAAATCATTATTGTGACATACTTATTCATTCCTTCTACATTCAATTCCCCCCCTAAATATTTTGTTTTAGACATAAAATTGCAGTGAAACTGCCCCAAATGTAGGGTATGGGACTTTAATTTTGTCCATTCTTAAAACACAAGTCATGAACTTATTGTTAATCATTTTGATTTATTTCAAAGAAATTGAGACATTAATTTCTCTAGGAGTTAGGACTGTCTGGTCATCATGGACAACTACTTGCTAGCGTGACCAAAATCAATAATAAACCATTATCCAAAGAACTATAAAAAGGTTCGTAAGTATTTAGTATGTATACGTTACATGGTTAACGTGTGACCGTGTAACATATATACATTATTACAATTATTTGATATTATACTAATCTTCGAACTGATATGAGATCTTGAATGTGGCTTATCCAAAAACTTGGGTAAGGACCCATTTTTGCAGAGATGTTTTTAATTGGAAACACTCATGGGAGATGACTGTCAAAGTGACAAGAACATAATTGGTGATGGGGTCAACCCTTTTCTTTTTTCATCATATAAAGGCTAACTTAGTGGAGCAAAATTCCTTCTTTAGGACCTTGAGGAAGTGTCAACATTGAATTATGCCTCAAAAAAGGGACAAAAATTGTGCCTTAAGTAGGAAAAATCCATGTGTCTATTAATTGTAATTTGCCAGGGAGAGATCTTTCCTGAGTTAGGTTAATTGAATTAAAGGTCTCCAAAAGGCCTAAAGTCAATGGAAAACACATGTACAAGGTCTAATCTGCATTGCCATGAGATCATGAAACTAAGAAAATCTTGCCTTCATAGTCCATTAAAGATCATAATGATGATCAAAACCTTAAAATGCTTTCCCATTCAACTTGGTGTGAAAATTCAACCACCATGGTACTAATTGTTCCTTGAAGAAGTTGGGAATCTGAGATTATGTGATCATCAAAAGTTCAATCTGTTTTTAAGATTTTTGTCAAGTTTCCAACATATAATCCAACTTTGCGAGAAGCTTTAGAAATTTATATTGGGTTCTTAAAGAGAGGTTTCTTGTATATTTCTATGGCTTTTTCAAATGTTTTTAAGGCTATCCTGGCTATAAAGTAGCAGGATTTTTTCTTGTCTGACAATGCAAAAGAGACACCTGGAAAATGAAGATTCCTACCATGTTCAGCTGTTCTGCTTCCACCATTTGGCTGATACTTCAAACATTCAAAGACCACCTCATTGTTGTACCAAAATCAAAGAAATGGCCACACTTATGCATGGAAAAAACAAAGTAGGCAAAGAACATCAATTGATTGAAAATCCTTGACAAATCCATTATCATTCTTCCACTCAACAAGCTCACATGCCCACGACAAACAGCAAAACCACCAAATTCATCCCCCTCCCCCTTTGCAAATCTCTTTCTTACACCTTAAATGTTACATGGGAGAGCTTTTGTCTATGATTTGTCTGTTTATGAGGGAATCTTGGTGCATCTTTGTCAGCCATTGTGTAAGGCTAGAGTTCCCTTGGCCTAGTAGTGGAAAAATTTCCAGAGTGTCCCTTTGCTTGTCAGTCTTTTCAATGACCACCTCCCAGTCTTCCACCCTCTACCAAATCTATCATTGGAACATGAAGATTTGAAGATGTTTCTACTGTGTCTGCCATTACTGGATTTTTCTTGTTCCCAATTGAGTCTTGGGAGGAAAGCAGGCAAGAAAATAAAACCAAATAAACTTAATCACTTGCAACTTGGAACTTCATTCATTCCCCAAGATTCACTTTTACCATCAAATGTTGCTATAAGCCTATAACTTTTTTTTTTTCTTTTCTGCTTAATAAGAAACCAAGTAACACCATCTCTTTTTCCTTCTTTGTTTGCCCCTTTCAATAGTAATAATTGGTGTAATTCAATTGAGTTTGTCTAGCATAATCAGGAACATTTGAAAAAGGAAACAACCTGGTCCAGTCACTCAAGAAAAGAAGCAACTAATACCCCCCAAGCATTAGTTTTTGCTTCACTTTACCAAAACAAATAGGCAATGCTCGACACTTATAGCTCTGGAGTCCCTTAGATATGAAAAAAATTGTCATCTGAGTGTGCCCCATTAAAGAGCAAGCAAGCAAGCATAGAGGTGCTTGAATCCAAAATTTTACTCCCAACTTTATCAGTCTGGATGCCAGATAGCTTGCAGCATATAATTCTGCGACAGGAGAACTCCAAATTCTATCTGACTTTTTCATCTTCCATGACAGTTAACAAAGGGTTTTTATTGCTTGGTGCTTTCAGGTCTCAATCTTGGGGTGTGCTTCCATGCTGGACACATAATTATAATTGCCAATGCAAATTATTAGCCTGAAAAGAGGGTAATCAAGGATAAAGAGATAGAGATCAAGAGGACAAAAAGCTGTAAGGTTTGGCAGCCAACAGGGAAAAGCTTTGCAAAAAAAAAAAAAAACACACACACACACACACACACACACGTACACGCCACTTTTAACCTATTCAGAAATTTCGTAAGAAAGAAGAATCTTAAGCAATGTGGAAGTGTCTTATCCTGATTCCTACCAGTAATAATGGAACTTCAGATTGCAAAAGAAAAGGAAAAGTTTGGTTCATTTCTTTTTCCTCCCACACCCCCACCTTTACATGTTATATCAACTTTTCCCTCCCTTTATCTCCTGCTTTTCATTCATTTCTATCTTGTAACCTGCAATCTAAGTCATCCCCTTCCTGTCTAACCTGCCTCCAAGAAAACACAGGTCTTCCATTCTCTAAAAGTCAAACAAACTTCAGCCTTATTAAAATATCTCTGATATGGTTCCCAATCCTTATTTTCCGATATATTGGTCAAAACCCACATTTTCTGCAACCTTTAATTTCATCAATATGTATCACTTAATCGTTTAAAAATTAACACTTTGCAGAGGAAAGATCTCATGTTTTCAGGATAGGTTGCCACTTGGTATCAAAAAGTTTAGTTGTTTCTGATGCATACAAAGGCAGTCAAAAGTCTGTCCTGGCCTGTCTTCGGGATTCTTTCATTCCCTAATTTCCCACTTGTTTTCTTTAACAAATACTTTTCTTAGTCAGAATGATTGTGGCAAACAATAGATTTAAGAATTCTGGGGGGTTTGAAAAAGAAGATTCTGAGCAAAAGGTTTGCATCAGATAACTTAGTGGGATTCGCCCACCATTAGTCACGATCTCTCTGTTTGGCTTTTTTAATCTGCAAAATGTGGTTTAGTAGTAATCTTGGATTGACAAATTCCATTCTCTATGAACACCCAAATATGGTATGCTCACTTATGATAAAAAAAAAAGGAACCTGTTGGAAGAAACAACCATCCTTATGAACAGAAGAATATATGATCGATCTCATGCTCATGCTTAAATCAAAGGAATTAACTATAAAAACAGACATTTAATCCATAGTTCATAGTGAAATCTTGATCGAGATCCACACTGTTTGCATAAAAAGTCTCATGCCAGTGAAGTTGTTGACTAGACATTGAGAAGAGAAGGGAGAGACAGGGCAAAGAAAACTATTCCTTCCATAAATCTGCACAAGTAAAACAGAGTCTTTTTGGCACTGGGTTGCTTCTATCACAGCACCCCCACCGGTCCCAAGGGTTAGAACAATATTCCTTCTAAGGTCAGGGAATCCACATGGTTCAAGGATGAATGATCAACAAGTTTCCAGGAAACCTTATATCCGATGACCCGAATTACTTCTACAGAAGGACACGTCCTTCAATGCCCATTTTTCATGCCCTGGGACTTCGACAAAAGGCTCTTACTTCGCAGCCATAAGACTTAAATGGATAAAACAAGAACATAACCATACAGATTCCGAGTTGGAATCCTCTAACTTGGGTGGACAGGTGTTGGCTTCTTTCACTGGCAGTAGGGCCTGATGCCAGCCTGCATCTCTTGAAGCCTGGTATTCAATGAGCAGAGCACCAAGATCATTCCAGGGCTTCAAACCTACTATCGGTTATTACACTGCAAATTCATCTGGATTTGAAATATAAAAAATAACATGAAAGATAGCAGAAGCAAAAAAAATACTTTTGAATTATCATTGCATGACTTAGATATCAATTAATCATTTTTTTGCAAATTACAACAACCTCTTGATGAACAAAATGGGTTTTCAACATGGTTACAAGCAATAAGGTATGGTGTAGTTATGTTTCTCTCAACACAACTAGAAGCCTGCATCATTTATACAAGCTAGTGCCATCTGAAAATAATGGCAATGCCAATTGAATATACAGAATGAATATGACAAAGTAAGCTATACATGGATGTCAACTCCATGCAACAACAAGAAGGGATATATTGGAATCTCAAGTTATCACATTCAAGCCACGAAGATGATAAAGACCACCAGGAAAAAGACAATTGCAATGAATATCTTGATTAAAAGCCATCTATTGGATGATATTTGGTTAAGATGCCTCAGTAGAGCATTGCGAGCACCTTCAACATTAGCTAATGATTGATCCATGTCCTCATCAATCCTGCTCACAAGTCACAAAACCAGGCAGATTCTGTAAACAACTCAAAATACCTAATTTCATACAACAAACACTTCAAAATGAAGATGAGCCAAAAGAAATGACATACTTATTTAGTTTATTGTCACTTTTGATGGAAATAGCAACTTTCCAGATCTAAAAATGAAAAGAAACTAGCAAAAAGTATGGGCAAAAGCAGCAGACCTGATAGCTAGTTCTCCTTGCTGTGCAACCATCGTAGCAAGATGTGTAAAGATCCCACTAAGTTCTGAAATTGTAGATTCAACATTTTGAAGAGCAACTGCCCTACTTTGTGAGTAGTGCTCTTGCCTGGGAACTACCTGCTGTAACATGGACATTTCCATGTGGTGGGAAGGTGTGCCATCCACAGCTGGCCTTCGTCTGTTGTGGTCAATAAAAGGTGTAATAAAGAAAAATAACAATTAATGAAGTGGAAATGAAACAACAATGAGGCCGATAGATATAAAAGAAACAGGCATGAGTTCGGAATATATCTACATATAAAGAAAATTTTCAATCCTAATGCATGGCAAATCACAGTGAATAGTTACCTATGTGTCTAAATTTCATAAGATGACATAAAGATATGACCAATCAGTAGAAAACACAATTTATGGGAAAAGTATAAACCTCAAACTTTAATCAAACACAACATACAATAACACACCTCAGTTGGCTGCCAGCTTGAACTCCATTTGGTGGCAGTCTGGTTATAAAGAAAGGGGAGACATTAGTCAGACAACAAGAGTAGTAATGGTCTTTCAGTTAAAGGAAAACATAAAGAGAGATCAGTGTGCATTGATGAGACTATCTACATCTGTGCTAGATGCTACTCAAAATTGATTAAATTATTAGTGCATCAACTGTCTAGCACACCAAATGTATTATAAATACCAGATTCCTTATATTCTAATAGCCTGGAAACACTTGATCCTGCCTCCTACACATGAAGACAGGATAATAACCAAGACAGTAGACGCCTATTGAATGTTTATTTATATCTACTAAATAATACTGCACCAAGAAATGCGGATTACCCACCCTGACTGTGGTAAACTCCCAGAGGCAGTTGAAGAACTTGACCAAGGAGGTGGCTCAGTCACAGATTCTGTTTGACGCTGAAATGGGTTCTCTCTAGATGCATTTTTTGAAAATATCTGTTTCCTGTTTTCATGAGCCTTGATATTCTGCATAACCACAACACATACCAAAAAACAAAAAAAAAAGAACATAAGCCAACCCAAAAGCAACAAAGAAGGGTTATTACTTCCTAATACTCAAAAAAAAAACTATAATTCTAATGTCGCACAAACCTCAGTTCTTGCAGTTAAAACATCTTGAAGATGCTTCGTAGCACCCATTAACTTGCCCTTCAAGTCATCACAAACCGTCGTCGAGTGAACAACTCTATCCTCGGAATAATTTCCATCTGCAATCTCCATGTTTTGAAGTGTTTGCAAATCCGAAAGTGCCATATTCAATGCGGTAATATCACTCTTTATCAAAGCAGTTAATTCCTGTATTTCCATAATCGGATCATCGAACATGGATGACCTTTTTGCCACTACAACAATCACATTAAAAAAATCAAGAATTACCACTGCAAAATCAGCTACTAATCTGATTCTTTCCTTTAGGAAAAAAAAGACATTTATTCCATTAATTAAATTTTAAACAACTACAAGGAAATATCTTGAGCACTTAAATAATTAAATTTTAATTCCCACTAGTAAAATCAAGATTAAAATTTTACTTAGCACACTAATTATACATATTTACAAAAAAAAAAAACACCTTTTTATTCCATTTTACAAAAGTTAAACAACTAAAAGGAAATATATCTAGCACTTAAATTAACCAAATTTAATTCTCAATAGCAAAAATCCAAGTAAATATTAAGCCAAAAAAATGAATAAATCATTAAATAAAAGAAATTCAGCTAAATAAACAATTAAAAGAAAGAGCTTACATTTGGCAAGTCTAACGATTTTTTGAGAGGTTTCTTGGATACCCGATCCGATTAAGGAAGCCTTCTTATTGAACTCGGATCTGGAACAGAGAGGAGCAGCCGGTTTGGAAACGTGGTCGTTTTGGAGATGACTATCATTGACGGATGAGACCCCTCCGATCTTTTGAAGCGTTTGGAGTAGTGATCGGAACTCGGCTGTCCGATCTCTGTACGGGGAGGCCATCGACGAAAACGCTGTCGTTTAAGGTGGCGCGAAGGGGAAGTTCGTTTGTCGGAGAGGGGAATGTTAACGTAGGAATTGGAGGGAAAGATACCGGAGAAAAACAAATCGAAATGTTCGCGGTGGTTTTTGGTCGTTTTAGTGGGGACTTCAGTTGTTAACGTTGTCCAATGATGTTTCGCCACGTCAACACGCTGAATATGCCTCCGTCTAACTGGGCTTTTTTCTTTTTGGGCTCAAAACAGAAGAAGCCCAAAATAACCCAAAATTCAAGAACCGACCCAAGCCAATCAGATGGTCGGAACAAATCTCACCCGTCCGATCTAGGTCATAACCAAAACCCTAATTTCCAAGATATAAACAACTGTTACCCATTTCTCTGATTTCACTGCCTCCCAATCGCTCTAGGGTTTATCTCTCTCTTCACTCTTTCTTCGCTCCCAAATCCACCGGAGGTTAAAGAGACGGCACCGTTTCGCTGTCCGCCTTGACTGAGCAACCGCTTCGTCTTGGCCCTCGATTTTGCCCACTGTAAAATTTTGTATCTTTGCTCGTAACTCTTCTTCCTTCCCAAAATGGTGGTGAAACCCTCCAAGGCCGACAAGAAGATCGCGTACGACGCTAAGCTATGCCAGCTATTAGACGAGTACACCCAGATCCTCATCGCGGCTGCCGACAACGTTGGTTCGAACCAGCTCCAGAACATCCGTAAAGGTCTCCGTGGTGACTCTGTTGTTCTCATGGGTAAGAATACCATGATGAAAAGGTCCATTAGGATGCACGCTGAGAAGACCGGGAACACGGCTTTCCTTAACCTCATCCCTTTGCTCCAGGTACTTTAAAGTTTAAATCTTTATTGTAATTTGTTTTTGGTTTTTAGTGTTTGATAGATCAAATAAGCGTCTTTGCCTGTTATTTATTGAAACAGGGAAATGTGGGATTGATCTTTACTAAGGGTGACTTGAAGGAAGTTAGCGAGGAGGTTGCCAAGTACAAGGTGGGTAATAGTTATTCGATTACTGGAACTTGGAATACTGGAAACTATAACTATTTTGTCAGTTCGTTTTTATGATGATTTCAATAGTAATTAGTAGATGGATGAAAATTTTGCTTCATAATCTAAAGAACACGTGAACATGTTTAATTTTGTTCAGTCATAGGAGTATATATGATAAGTTCTATTTGTTAATATAGTTTACTCCATTTTTAGAACCCACATTACATTGCTACTTAGGGAAAGGCATGCAAGGAAAAACTATTTATTGGCTTGACAATAGATTAGTTACCATTCTCGTTGTTGTGTCCAATTCCATGTTCTTTTTTAAAGGTCATGTCTCAAAACTTAAATGATTCTGTTACTATATTGTTGTTGGTGTTTTAAGTTTAATGTTTTTTGATGTGTAGTTGATTCTTCCCATTTGTTTTGCATTTTTGCACAAAATGCTTGGATATAATTTTATCTTTCTTTATGAATAGGTTGGAGCTCCTGCTCGTGTTGGTCTGGTTGCACCCATTGATGTTGTTGTCCCACCTGGCAACACTGGGCTTGACCCATCACAGACCTCTTTCTTCCAGGTGCTGATTTTTTCTGGTAGTAATGTTGTTCTTTTATCTGATTTTGGGTGCTCCTTGTTAAAGGACTTGTTGGATTCTTTTATCATATTTCTGTTATAATTTAGGTGCTCAATATTCCTACCAAGATTAACAAGGGTACTGTCGAAATTATCACCCCTGTGGAGCTTATCAAGAAGGGTGACAAGGTTGGGTCTTCTGAGGCTGCACTTCTTGCCAAGCTTGGAATTAGGCCCTTCTCATATGGTCTTATTGTCCTGTCTGTTTATGACAATGGCTCAGTCTTTAGCCCTGAGGTATTGAATCTTACTGAGGATGACTTGGTTGAGAAATTTGCTGCTGGTGTCTCCATGGTTACTGCATTGTCCCTTGCCATCTCATACCCAACCCTTGCTGCTGCACCTCACATGTTCATCAATGCCTACAAGAATGTCTTGGCTCTTGCTATTGCAACAGAGTACTCATTCCCACAGGCTGACAAAGTGAAGGAGTACTTGGCAGATCCAAGTAAGTTTGCAGTTTCTGCTGCCCCTGTTGCAGCTGATACTGGTGCTGCCCCTGCTGGCGGTGCTGCTGTGGAGGAGAAGAAACCGGAACCTGAAGAAGAGTCTGATGACGATATGGGATTCAGTCTCTTTGACTAAAGTTCTTTGTTCAAAGAGACTTTAGAACTATAAGACTATCAATTATCATCAACTGCTGGGATTTGTTTTGCTTAGTTTCTTTTTGATGTGTACTTTGATTTGTTAATGTTTGGAGAATTCATAAGTTTGTGAAAGTTTTAATTTAGTTTTATTGTCTGTTATATCAAAGTCTGCATTTCGAATTATGCTCCCAAATCCATCATTTAAACACAGTCCCTAATTTGGTCATTAGAAACATAGGAAATGTTATGTGAATTGATATATGAGATCTCCTCTTTGATGGCAAGGTTCCCTCTAGCATTTTCAATTTGATGTAAAGCTAAAACTGGTTTTTCTGCAAGGGGAGTTTCCATGGAAGAAAAGGAGGACAAGTTTGGTCTTATACCAATATCTTTTTCTCCAAGAATGAGATGTGGCCTTACGCCCTTATCCCTAACTCCATAATAGGATGTTGGACCTTTACCCCTTCATATCCAAAGGACTTACTATTCAAACATGATTGGAAAAAGAAACACACAATATAAGGGAGAAGAGAATTTCTAATTGAATCAAATAATCCTGAGATGACAAAACTTAGCATGTGGCAAAGCCTGAATGAAAGAAGCACTATAGACACAATTTTTTGCGTACCCTTTACACTCAAGCTTAGTGTCTCAAGTCTTGCACGTGAAATTTGATGTTGAAATCTATTTATAGGTCATTGCTATACAATTGTAAAGTCTCTATCTGCTCTTCTCTGACAAGTTAAAACTTTGAAATAAAGGGTTTTCCTAACATTTCTTTATACTTTAAAATGAGAATTAGTGACCCCAACAACTCAAATTCTGCTTGGTAATGATCTCTTGATAAATTCTTTCGTGGGGTAGATGAATTTTCGGAGCTGTCCCACAACAATGATCCAAGATTTGTTTGTCCAATTCTGAGGTTTAACATTTTTGAACTAAAGTAAGGATTAGATCTTGTTCACATTCATATTCCCCACCCTCCCTCTCTCTTGCCAAATAAGATCAGGCAGTGACAAAAAACTTACTGGGGGAGAGAGCTCGAGCAAGGCAAAGGCAAAGGGATAAGGTCTTGTCCAATCCCCTTTTAAGATTCTTTAGGATTCGGATATGCTCTCTCCTCCATACCACAAGGAACTAAACCCAATAACGTGTATCACTGTTTTTGTCTTATTAAATTATAGGTATAAACGCAACCAAACTGGGATTCTGCTTTCTTCTTTGGAAGCATGATTTTCATTCCTTTAAGTAGCAAAGGATATGTTACAATCTTCAGTCACATCCGATGTTAGCATTGGATCCTTGGAGAATCTTCGCTTAGTATCCTTCCAAGTAGTATAGATAAGTTTTATGTTTTATTAATTAACCAAATATTTATTATAAATTGATGGAATTAATTAGAAGGTACTTGGTAAGAAGACATGCCTTAAACGACTTGCTCAAGTTGTCCCAATATTCACTTTCCAAAAAAAAAAAAAGTTGTTCCAATATTCAATCATATAAGAAGCCAAATGATTGATCACAAAGTTTGATATCAACTTAGAGCTGCACAAACATTAAATGTAAGGCAACAAAAGAAAATGATCCGAACCCAAATGATGGAGAATTTGTTTGAAATATTATAACACTTGAATCGGATTCAAAATTGTCTAAATCATAATTTATTTATTCAGTTGACACATCTAAAATGAACTTTATAAACAATTGTACCAATTACTATTGTTCTTTTCTTTCCATATGTTGAGGTTATTTAGCACTATGAATTAGTTGAAAAATTGGGTTCTTGAAAGTGTAGGAATATGATCTTGACAAGGAAAAAACTGGTCATTGATTTAGACCCATGAATTAAACTTTGATTTCAAAATCACTTCAATGTTTTCAAGATATGGATTCACTTTAAATTCAAACTTGATATTTAATGGATTGTGATAGCTAAGGCAAACTTGATCCTAGAGGATAGAGCTCCAGCTATCTCTTTTTTCATTGGGAGAAAAAAAAAACTTTAAGAAACAAAATTATCCCTTGATTCCTGGAAATTAATTGTATTAAAGTTCATGCATAATCCTTAAAAGATTAAGTGCATGCATATAAATCATGTCCCAAACTAATGAAAACACCCTAATTAGACAACACTAATTAAATTCATAATTACCTGATAACCCATACAAAAGGCTGCTGGCTAGGGGGATAAGGGTGGGCTCTTCCTTTGCCTAATTCTTTACTAACACTTGGGTCCCCCCCATGGCAAATGGCAGCATTCCTTGCTTGAATGGCTATCCACTACAAAGATCACGTTGAAACAAGTTGGGAGACTGGTCGTACCAAGGTTTGGTTTTTCTTTTTTGTTTATATATTCATTTGTCTAGGAGAATTTTCAATTCCTAATTAAATTAATCTTAATACTAGCAATTAACAATACCGATGACGCCGCCGGTCTTCGTTTTTATTTCTATTTTTTTTAAAAAAAAATTGTTGGTGGGTTAGATGAATCTTTTTCCATGTTGTTATCCTCCAACAAACAATGTTTAAAACTAATCAATTGTTTTGTTTTGAATAATATGATGTAGGAATAGTTAAACCTAATGCCTTTGTCCTAAGGTACAAACCTCAAATATTCACTTGTTCAAAATTTTAAAATATTTTCGTCCTTAAATAAATAAATTAAAACCTTTAATTTAGTACAACTTTTGATTTGACTTTATAATTTAAAATTAAAATATTAACGATCTTATCCGCGTCTTTTTATATTTTTGGTTTTGGACCCTTAATTTTCACCTAAATCGGTAGATTAAAAAGATGAAAGAACTATACTTCATCTTTATATTATACTATAGATGGATTAAAATAATGTTGCTTCAAGATAAGTCTTTACATGAACTTGGAGAGATATATTCAAAGATTAAAATATGTTAGTCTTTTTTTAATTATAAAA